CTAAAACCAAGACACTTGGGGGTCACACACTAAAACCAAGACACTTGGGGGGTCACACTAAAATCAAGACACTTGCGGGACAAAAAGAAGGGTTGGTTGGTGGCGGGGAAAAAAAAGAAAAAGTCGACTATTCTTCCTCATCATCACTTGGACTCGATGCCGCCGCAATCTTTGAAGGGGTGAGAAGCGACGGCCGCCCACTTTGCTTCGTTTGAAAGGTCCAGCTCCTGGGTGTTGTCGATCTGGGTTTTGACCCGTTTCCACAACTTGGACGGGTACTTCTTTCCAACACCGTAGCGTTCGCAGATCGGGTCAAGCACGCCCTTGGGAATCCTTGACAACCCCGGCTGAATGCCCATCGCAATTTCTACCGCCATGGCATAGCGCCTACCAACCGATAATTGGCTGCCCCTTTTGCGAGGTGGTGTGCTGGGGGGCGATTCCATCGCTAGAGTAGGGTAGTAAAATGGATTTGAGAATTTTGTCGAGAATTCTCAAAAAATATCCCAAAATATTTTCTCAAAAATATTCCCAAAACAGGCCAAAATAGGGTAAATTTTGACCAATAGTAGGTACAGAAATAGATGTTCGTTTTTTTTTTTCTTTTTTCCTATCGCTTCGTCTTTGTTGTATCTTTCTTACAAACCCGACTATGCTACCATCACTAACTCGGTTGCACCCAGACAATCTATTGCATTTAGGTACCCTAACTTATGATACAGAGGAAGTATGACCGAGGGGATGCGGCGGAAATGCCAGAGATCCCCTTCCCGCAATAGAAGTGCATGAGAGACCACACACACACAAGACATCACCTACACTACAAACGCACACGCACTAACCTCTCACTCCTTGGCTTGCCGGGCGCACTCCTCTCGTGTCTGGGGAAAAAAGAACGGCCCCACCTTCGGCGTGTTGTTGATGGCGTCCACCACTTGCCACATGATGTGGAAGACGGACTCCTTCGAAATGCCGAACAGCACGGCGACATCAATGTATCACGCCCCTGCGAACATGCGCAGCGCAACTGCCAGCCGAATATTCACTGACACAGCCTCCACAGCGCGACCGCAACCCTGCACCACGCGACCAACACGAGTACGAGCGTTGAATGTAAGCTCGAAGCCCAAGCACTTTTCAGGCGCATCGCCGGAGGGACAACAGGGCACATGCCATCTACACGGCGTCTCCTACCCTGCTTGATGTCCNGGAAGACGGACTCCTTCGAAATGCCGAACAGCACGGCGACATCAATGTATCACGCCCCTGCGAACATGCGCAGCGCAACTGCCAGCCGAATATTCACTGACACAGCCTCCACAGCGCGACCACAACCCTGCACCACGCGACCAACACGAGTACGAGCGTTGAATGTAAGCTCGAAGCCCAAGCACTTTTCAGGCGCATCGCCGGAGGGACAACAGGGCACATGCCATCTACACGGCGTCTCCTACCCTGCTTGATGTCCGTCCGTGGCGGTGCAAATTCATCTTGCGGACATCAGCGATGAGCAAGAAACATACAAGTGCAATAAACCAGCGGCTAGAGTTCGCGACGGCAGGACAATCTTAACATAAACTAACCCTACTCTCTCTTCCTCAAGCGCGAGGGCACTCTGTGTGGGTACCGTATATGACACAAGATAACACACCCCCTGGACCGATTTTCAGCTCGATTACTCCACGACGAAGAGGATGCATAAATGAAACAACACATTTTTGGAAAGCTCTTGACGACACGGTTTCAACGCCGCCGTTGTCGGCGCTGTGACTGTTCCTGCAGTTGAGAAATCGAGCTTCGAAAATTGGTCAAGGGGGTGTGTTATCTTGTGTCATATACGGTATGTCTTACTTGCGTAGAAGTCGTTGCGCTCGAGGATGGGTCGTAAAAGATCAGCTTGTTGAAGCTGTGCTCCGCCATCCTGTACATGCGTCGGAACAGCTTCCTGCGCCTCACGTCTTCCAAGTGCTCGTCCCAATCCAGGCGTCGCGGCTCGTGGATAGGTTGCCGCGCCTTGGGTACTAGGCGCTAAAGGACAGTCGATGTGGCGACAGTCACCACCAGCACAATCGCCGCTATTGCCTTGAGCTTGTTGAGGATATCCTGGGTGTGTGTTGGCCGAGCGCGTGCCCGTGGGCGAAGGGAGCCACTCGATTCTGTAGGCACACCGCGCTTTCTACGGTCGCCCATGCCCCCAACACAACCCTAGCTGACTTCCTATGGCGAGCGGCACTCGTGTTGCGGACGTCGCAGCCCGCGCGTGCGTTTGTAAGGGTGATTTGGAAAGTGCTCCAAAAAGGCTTCCAAATTTTGGAAGCTACTGGCGCCAAATTTCCGGGCCCGACTTCGTTCCAATTTTTTTGGGATTTTGTGGAAGAACGCCCACGTACAGGTTGCAAATATTTGGAGCTTCGGAAAAAATTGGAACATTTGCCCTCGTTTAAAACGGGTCTTAGCGGCGGAAGTAAGGGCCAGTCGGCCCTCCGTAGACCCACCACAATCCCTTATGCCTACGTGCTGTATCAAGCCATGCACCATTTCCACACGATCTAACGTAGACGCCACTTCCAGAAGTGTCCCGCCATTAAACTCCAGCAGCGGATTTGCCTTTTACCGAGGAGGAAGCGGAAGGCGTCGAGGTTTTCGTAGAATAGCGCTAAATAGAGCGGCGTCGTTTCTCCGTCCTGCATCGTAGCGTACAAGCTCGCACCTGCCTCCACGAAAACTTCCATCACCGCGATGTGTCCTTGTTGCGATGCTACATGAAGAGGTGTCGCGCCATAATCAACATGGACGGAATTCACATCCGCACCGGCGTTCATGAGGGCGTGTGCCACGGCTGCATGTCTGTTGATTATTGCTGCCGAAAATACAGCACTGCTGTAGCCGGAAGGAGAGAGCGCAGAAACATCTATCTCTCCCTCCAGAAGGTTTTCCACAGTTTCACCACTTCGTGCGGCTCTCATGGGAGGCGATTCTTCGCTTACTACGATGTCCCTGACGTCCACACCTACACGTAGTTGACCGGAACGGCGCATCCTTGGCTTCTTGTGGTTG